GAAAGAAACACTTTACACATGTAAGCATTTTACACCGAACAACAGCAAAACAGCACCAAAAAACGAAGAAAACATGTGAAACACATGTAAGACAGCACTCGGTGAAGATAATCGGTGAACATTTTTATCTTATAATTAACTAGAACTGCCACTTTCATGGCGTGAATACCCCCGCATACCACTTTGTCAGAATCAACAGTGGCCATTTAGAGCTCAAGGACAACATCCCTACCAAATCTGAGTTTACTAAGCCAGTGCATTGCTAAGTTACGAATTCTACATGCTTCAAATGTAACAATGTCAAAATCAATACACTGCGGACAGGCATTCTTTAGCATTTGAGCAGACAAACTTAATATAGTAAAAATCCCTGTGACCTTGACCTTTGACACACAGTCAACTTAAAATCAATAGGGGCCATCAACTAGTCATAAACAACCTCAATACCAAATATGAAGACTGTGGGTCAAAGGTTTCTTAAGTTATTGGGCGGACAAACTTTTGAAGTCAAAGTCCCTGTGACCTTGACCTTTGACCCAATGACCTCAAAATCAATAGGGGTCATATACTAATCATGACTTACATCCATGCTAAATATTAAGACTGTGGATCAAAGGAATCTTAAGTAATTGGGTGGACAAGTTTGTTTTAGCCAAGGCCCCTGTGACCTTGATCTTTGACCCAGCAACCTCAAAATTAATAGGGGTCATCTGCTAGTTATGACTAACCTGCATGCCAAATATGAAGACTGTGGGTCAAAGAAATCTTACGTTATTGGGCTGATAAGCTTTTTTTTCGCCAAGGCCCTTGTGACCTTGAACTTTGACCCAGAAACTTCAAAATCAAAAAGGGTCATCTACTAGTCATGACTAACCTGCATGCCAAATATGAAGACTGTGAATCAAAGGAATCTTACGTTATTGGGCGGACAAGCTTTTTTTAGTCAAGGTCCCTGTGACATTGACCTATGACCCAGCAACCTTAAAATCAATAGGGGTCATCTACTAGTCATGACTGACCTGCATGCCAAATTTAAAGACTGTGGGTCAAAGGAATCTTAGTTATTGGGCGGACAAGCTTTTTTTAGTCAAGGCCCCTGTGACCTTGACCATTGACCCAATGACCTTAAAATCAATAGGGGTCATCTACTAGTCATGACTAACCTTCATGCCAAATATGAAGACTATGGGTCAAAGGAATCTTAAGTTTTTAGGCGGACAAGCTTTTTTTAGTCAAAGCCCCTGTGACCTTGACCTTTGACGCAGCAACCTCAATAAGGGTCATCTACTAGTCATGACTAACCTCCATGCCAAATATGAAGACTGTTGGTCAAAGGAATCTTAAGTTATTGGGCGGACAAGAAAAACCGACGGACAAGCTGATTCCAGTATACCCTCTTACAACTTCGTTGTGCGGGGTATAAAAATAAACTTTGAGTAAAACAAGGTTAAGTCTTTAAATAAAGCCTACGTAAAGGCAATATTTCACGAATTGCTTTTTAGGATATCATTAGACGGGCTGTGTGATTTGTCGAAATGTGTCACAAACCCGTATAGAAACTACGTTATATTAGCTTTAAAATTCAGTCAAATACTTTCCAAACACTCGGCAATCCACATGATTCCTTGTAGAGATAAAAGATGTTAAAATTGGCAGGCCTTTTTAAATTTCAGTAACAATAAAAAAGTTCGGAAGCGATTTATGATAACGATGAAATCAGGTGGATAGAAAGCACGAATTACGTGAAGAACTTAGCCGAACCAAAATATTTGTGGGATTCCTGTTCAGTAACATTTATATAAAATTGAAAGTCGGTTTGTAAAATAACTAAAATTAAACTTTTAATAATAACTACTAAGCAATGACGTATATATAAATATTGTAATGTCATAATTTACTAATACAGAGTGAAAAACAGTGTAAAAGTTGTTTTAAGTGGTATTGTACGGGAGTCTTCAAACTCGTCATAACAATAAAAAATAAATGACCAATGAAAAGAAAAAGAAATCAGAATGACTTGTGTTTGCAGCAATAATTACATTCAATGTTTACGCTTGGATGTAAAACACAAAACTGTATTTACGGAAATGTATCTATAATTTCAAAAACATTCAAACTGGTTATGACGATTTTAAATTAATGCAAAATGAGATTGATTATTATATAATCTAAACACAAAAGGTTTTCGAACGATTTAAATGTAACAATATCAAAACATACATTTGTATTGAATGTTACTCATGTTTTTTTCTCTTGGTTTCATTTAAAATTCATTCAGGGAGCGTTTTATGTGCGTTTTGGTACATGTAATTAATAACATCAATGTTATTCTGGTTTTCGTCATATTCGGGGGCAGATGGATAAGCGATAAAGATTTTATAACGAGATCAAATTAAAAAAGTCTTAATTGGTAAAAATGGTAAAAAGGTTGGGTATGTTCGGACATAACGACTCCATCAGTATTTATTAATTTATTTTATTTAAGTACATATCACATCATAAATACCAGTTAAAAGGTTCGTTTATGTATGAAATACCATTATCATGAATTATTACTAACAGATAAATAATTTTCCAGTATCTTTTATACTCCATAGGTAACTGTTGTGCATTAGGTTGATGGGAACATTTTATTTTTATGATTTTATAAACTGTCATGTTATACACTTGACAATAATTAATTAATAATAATAATTCAACAAGCATTTGAAAAGTTAAAACATCATTTTAATATTAGTTGTTATAACACTGTTGTTATATTTCGGAAGAAATGCACTTTATACATATATAATGCTCAACTTGTTAGATTGTTTGTTTTGCTAAATTCGTTAAATTGAAAGTATTAAAGTGTACCTACTGAAGTTTATTCGATGGATCCGATGAAGCTCATAAACCATCCATTGGACGGGCGGACTTCTTTAGCACAAAGACATTATAGAGTTGTTCTTTTGGTCTTCTTCAACCCTACAAGCTCCTTTTCAAGTCCATATAAGCCTTTTTATAACCCCAGAACAACAAGATGTACAATTTGTATACAAGACCTAACCCTTCAATTTTCTATCCTCAAAGATTGTCCGGATGGACAGATGGTTTGATAATTTATTACAATTTGGCTTTTTGCAATCATTCATAATTCCATAAAGAAAGTATTGGTGGTTAACTCTGAAACCATCTTTTATATTTTAAACCTTTATATATTAATGGTGCCTGGTAAAAACGTAAGGTTTGATGACCCCGGCATTCCTAGATAATTGAATTGAATTGAATTGTTATATCAGGGTGAGCAAGTTTTAAATCTAGTTCGTCTTTTTTCTCTCTTTTTTTTAAATTTCCAACGTCATTTTGTCTTTCGTCATCATCGAATTTTGTACGATATGTTGATCTTGTAGGTGAATGAAGGTATTATTAATTTTAAGTATATATTTAAAATAGAAGCTCTGAGTTAATTTTGAGTGTAAACTACATTGCAAGACATCGGCAGTATTTCCAAAGTCAGTCCGCAACGTTTCGTTAATAAACTTATGTTTTTAAGTTATATTTAACAAAGTCATTCTAAGAAATTGAAGGAACTAAAGATTTTTGTATTTCTGGTATCGTATAAACGGTAAAATGTCGAAATAAAAATACTTTAAAGAATTAACAAACACCAGAAATTCTGTGCACTATAAGGAATGTGAAATATTTCTCAACCTTTTTGTCAGTCGAGGACACTTTGACATTGTTTTATATAATAGATGTATGGTTAACACAAACGTGTTTATACTATTAACTGATTAAATTATTTAAAAGAAAAAATATTTTAAAACTGAATAAAATTGGTTTCCTCTCATTTTATTCTCAAAAATTCAACCTCTTCTCGTTCTTTTCAATTGAAACTTGAAAATTTGTACGTGAAAATTTGGGGGAAAGGCGGCACCACATTCTTTCACGGAATTTTCTGCAATAATTGAGCGATAACTGAAACAGACCACAACAGACACGGGTCGTTTAATGTACGCAGGTTGCTAAGCATGCATCTAACTGTTAGTTTATTTGGGGCGAGCTAATTCTGATAGTTATTTGATTGCTGGATAAAATGCACGTGATTTTTGTAGTTTATTCTATGTAGGTTAACAGTGTAAACACTCACATGTTATGTAAAATTGACGTATTTATCGTATTTTGAATATCTATTTAGCGGAGACAGATTGCCCACCTGCAATATTACAGCTTTTGTTTCCTCTCATTCATGAATTTCTTTTATAAAACAGAACAAACGATGTGATGCAATCCTCTATATATGAAGTGTGTTTTAAGTATGATCTTTGAAACAATAATCGTTCGCGGACTAAATAAGTCTGAACTGTATTTAATTGTTCAAAAAAATGTTAAAAAATAAATTTCAAAAAACTAAATTGATATGTCATTTTTTAAAGTTATATATATTAATATGCTTTTTTGTTCAAAAAAAGAAATCAATATCAAATGAGTTAATGATGTTTATTACCGACTGCAGGAAGTAGAATAATTATTTTGGGGGGACGATTTTGTCAAATATTTGGTCTTTTAATGAAAACTTCATGTTTTTAATGTGATTGTTTGTATATTTTTACACAATATAAATCAAGTAAAACATTTTATTTGCAAAAACAAAATACCATATTTACAATACAATGTAAGAAAAGTATAGCAATCAGCTCCTTAACAGTTTCGATAAACTCATACCTCGAAGATATGTTACAATAATTTTGTTATTTTCCTTATATAAAAAATCTCTTATAGAAGTCGAAAGGTTGCCTTTTCCTAACATTATTAAAACATTATCCCTTAACGATTTGTTCCACTATAGTTAAAACTAATCAGATTTATTGGTAAACCTATTAAACATAGGGGCTTAGTGTGATTCATTTACCTTTTTTCAATTATCATACTCCTTTATAAACATGTTTTTAGAAACAGACTAACACCGCACCGTTGCAAGGCGGACTATAAATATAGATTTTAATGCTGCCTCACTCATTTGGGAAATCAACGCTGTGAGAACGGTAATTGGATCGTTTTGATTGTTTGTATAGGTGTTTTTAACGACACTTGTTTCTTTAATAATTTTATGGTGGTTTTTTTTCGTTCCTTTTAAATTCAATAAGATTTTTGTCACTTTTTAATAAAAAACAAATTTCATTTTTGGTGATATTAGAATTTGTCTTTTTTTTTCAAAATAAGAACAAACTTCTGTAATTGACCTTGCAAATATGCGATTAAAAGTATCTAAAAGGGACAAATATCTCACTAAGCATTTAATATTGTTACACGTCATCAAACATGTTATTGTACGCAATTCTGATTGTTTATTAAACACGTTTGCTTAGGGAAGAGTTGTCGCTATTTCAATTATAAAGCAATTTATTTGTAACAAATTCGTTATACTTCTCACCAAATTTCAATTCTAAGACTCCTTTTATTTCGAATTAAGTGATATCATTTCACCAAAGCGGTGAATTAGCTGTTAAGAATACTCTCATCTCGCAGTATCATTGCAAATTAAAGCAGGTAATTTGTAACTGTACCTGTTCAGCACGGTATTACATATTCCCCCGTCTTGTAATATAAGTGCTGCTGATGCGATGATTTGCCTGCGGCTACTTGTACACGGGAGATATTTTCGCGGCAATAAATATAAATGGATTCATAAATCAAATTTGGTTTTTAAGATATTAATTGGACTTTGGCTGGTCGAAGGCGCTTGAGAGGGGCAACAAATCGACGTTAATGAGAGCTTTCCGCACTGTCTAGCTAAGTGTTCAAGGCGCCAACTAAGCTGGGACCACGCGATCGCGGTCTTAATGCGTAGGACATTGTTAGAGTAAAATCACTAGAACGTCAATCGCTAACAAATTCAATTAGAGGTGGACACAAAATCAAAGAAAGTGCACGAATAAGAATTTTTTGGTGTTTTGTCCAAACAATAGACAGTAGCAAAATAGGATTTATTGTTATAGCAGGGAATACACGTTAGGGAGAACCGATATCGGAATCGTTTTAATTCTTGAACAGGTAAGTATTGAGCTTGAAGGTATAACTTATTTTAAAGAAATAAATGTTATTTATCCAGATATATTTATTCATGAATTTAACATTTAAAACTATATAAAACAAAATCAAGGAAACACGTCTGAAATTATAAACTTTAATACAATATACCTAACAAATGATACTATTAGTTTTCTTTTTGTGAAATTGTTAATAAAAAAAGATTAAGTTGTTCAATAGAAAATTTAAATTGTTTCTAATATTCAATTTAGAAAGTAGAATTTCAAACCAATCTTGTGGCAATTTACAAATTGATAGTTGATTAAACATTTATTGTTTAGTTTATAACTTGCCTTGCAATATTCTTCATTTAGTTTTTTGATGTAGTAGTGTAATCACGTTTTTGTTAAATTAATATTTCAATCTGTACGATATCATGCTAATGAAATGAAAATTTAAAGTATGATCGTTTGAACATTTTTAGAAGTGAAACAGCTGAACCATGGTAAAAAGTTCAGAAACACATGTTTTTTAAACTTTAAAGTGACATTATGCCCATCTATAGGTATATAATGAATGAACAGGAGAGAGTCAAAATAAATTTTCATTTTGCCATATTTTCTTTTGATTTAATAATTTACTTTGCATAAACAATAAATAACCACTGGATTCATACGAAATTTCAGTAAATATCTTTTAGAATTTACCTGTAATGTTCAATTTATAAAAAGAGTGGGGCAGTCTTTTTTATATTTTAGGCAGATTTTAAATTTTATCCTAAACATTTTCCAATATAATATGTTGGTCAAACATCATTTAAACAGTCAATCTCTTGAAATATAAAGTCAATTCAGCTCAACTTGACAATGAAAATATGAGCATAATGTCACTTTAAAGTAATACTAAGATAATAAATATATCAATGATTTTCCAAAGAGCATTTTATTTTTATTATTTTTATTTTATGTACATTTACAAATTTGGCTAAAGTCTGGATAATGTGTAACATATTGCATATTTTAAACATCAGACTTTTTTTTAAATTTGAGCGTTAACTTTTATTTTCAATTTCAAGAGTTATTTAAAAGTATTATTTCTCGTCGAGCGCAATAGCTTATAGTTTCTTTATCCAAAAGTACGAAAACTTATCATTTTTCTATAAACGCAAAGTTTTTATTCAGATGAAAGTTACAAACTGGTTACATTAGATATAAAAAATGTTCGGAACAATTATAGGGGTTGTTTGTTGTTATATATACATGTATATATTTTAAAGATGCTGGTTATATTAGATATAAAAAGTGGTGTCTCTGAAACGATAATGATAAAAAAGCACAATTATAAAATTAATGTAATTAACATTTTCATACGCACTGAACAGATAAAAATAACAAGTGACATAAGAACTTGTAATTTACAATGAATTCGCTTTATCTTAAGTTGTCTTAATAGGACAAATGCAGAAAAACGATCTTACTATCTTAACGTTCTTTTGTGAAATAATTTTAAACTTAATAATGGAATAAAAACAAAAAGACTTAGTGACAAATTTGTTTTTCAGAAATTTTCAATTTATTTCTGAATTTCAACTGACATATCTTATCCCTGTCGTCGTTCGTTTATTTAATATTTTAAACATCACGTTAAACTTATATAAATATATAAGTATCCTTTTGAAGCATTTGGTTTAGCTATTCGTATAACGGAATTAAATATATGTTTTTAGAACATGGTAACTACATTGGAAAAAATTCAAGCATATGTCGAATTACATTGTGTTTGTTTATTCCCCTATTGCACTGTTTAATTTATCATTCTTTCTAAATATCTAGAATGTATTATAGAAGTAATTTCAATTATTCCATCTGTTTTACCTGTACTATTGCATATGTTTATTTCAATTTACTATTGAATATGTTTATTTTAATGTATTATTCCATATGTGTTTGTTTCAATTAATTATCCCATATGTTTATTTTAGTTTATTATTCAATATGCTTATTTTTATATACAATTCTATATGTTTATTTAAATGTATCGTTTTTAAGATATCTTATAGACCTGTGTTTCCATTTTGATGTTTCAAACAATGTTTAATATTAAAAACATCTTGAAACATCTGTTAAAACATGGCGTTATAAAATTAGTCATAATGTTTTGTTTCAAGTACACCAAATTAAGATTTACGTTTTTTCGTAGTATCTTGGAAATGTTATAGTAGTAAAAATAACTATTTAACGTGAAGTAATTGTGTAAATTGATGTGTTAGTTTAGGGGTCAGTCACAAGGGTGTAATTTATATTGGCAAGAGTATTTCTCAATTATTTTAAATGACCAGTCCGGTCGAGTTGACAAACGATGATGTCACTGTTTGTATATGATCATCCCAAATAGAGCAAACATAACGAGACATTCTATGTCCTAGTCTCTCCGTAAATTTATCATTCAAAAAAAAATGAATAAAAAGTTACTTAAAGAAGCAGCTAATTCTGTTTTGTCAAAAGATTTATTCAAAAATATTCTGTTCTGATATAAACATATATTTATGTTTAGAATGTAAGCAGGAAAAATGTAACACTTAGTAAAGAAACCTCAAAAGTCAACACTTGACATGATGACGAATAGTGAAATCGTACGTTATGTTTACATGCAATATTTACTTTTTTTCTTTCCATTCATAAAAATGCATAATTACTGGCAAGTTTCCGCTCCCATTTAGTCTTAAATCAGATATAAACATGACTTCCTTTAAACTAACTTCCTGAGTGCAAAAATAAATTCCCCCATTTTGTTTCTGATGTTGGTAAAGATAAACAAACGTCATTAAGTAAAATAATGCTCAAACACTCGACTTAGAAACAGAAATATATGAATGAAGTATTATACAGAGTACATATTTATTGAGTGTTTGTTTCTTTCAGTTTTGCATCTAAAATTCGGAAATCAAAGTCGTATAAGTGGGCTTAGTACTATTTTGGAAAATATAGATTTAAAGTTTTCTAATACGTGTTTCCCATTTACAACTTTTAGTTTAACTTATTATGAACAAACTCTGATAATAATTATTAAAATATTCCATAAATAACTTATTTGATAATGCCTGTTACACAAACAAGTAAATAAAGCATATTAATTTTTATAGTTGTATAAATATAATCAGATAACACCACGTGTTTATAAAACAGCATCCGTTTAGTTCCATAAGAAGACCATCGAAAAGTCGCTGGTCCAATCCTCGTGGAAGTCAACGGTACTCGATTTGTCTTACATGCCTGATTTTTAAACATTTGGAATTAGAAGCCGGTCACTTGCGGAGAAATTGGTAAATTAATTGTTGGTTATCCAGTAAAACTCGCTAGACGGTTCTACCTCTCTATATTAAAAAACTTGAGTTAAATCGGCTAAACAAGTAAAATAGAAAGCAAACAAACAAAGAAAACACAGCTCAAATGAAATTTATATCCTTAATTACATCCTAGGTCGTATTTGTGTCCAAACGTATTTTCTATTATATTTTGAAATTTTCAATAATCAAATTCTTGAAAAAACTTACTTTGCTCTGTTTTTGCAAATGAAATGGTATTAACTAAAATGATACTTTATTATCACAGTTAAACAGGAATGTTATAATAATATTAAATATGTTACAACTTTAAATTCAGAGTTTCAAAACACCTATAAAACCAAAATAGTAAACAATACTGACTCATATATTTGAAAGTAGAATGTTTGGGAGATATAAAACAAAAGAAAATCAGACAGGCCTATTCAAATGGATGTGCAAACATTGCATGATTTTTAGTATATTTTACAATGCTAAAAATTTGTAAAATATTCTTGATACAAATCTTATAAATAAGGAGTTGTTTGCATGTTAACAAGTAATATATAAAACATGTGATATCACTTTTATACGCCCGCATAGCTATTCATCTAATTTTAATCTATGATTGACAAAATCTCGTCCCGAGCAACTGGGTAATTTCAAGTGGTTGGAGCCATGCAAATTCACTTT